AGGCGCACAAGGGGGTCATCGGCACCATCGTGGTCAATGCGGAAGGTAAACGGGGGGAGGGGCACAACCCCTGACACCGAGCCCCCAGGGGAGAGGGCAGGGAGGGAGCACGCAGAAGCAAAAGTTCTACAGGTGGGTGCGAGTGCAATTAAATACGGATATATATACATACACCCCCCCCAAGAAAGTGTGTGTATGTATACACACACATACATGCACACACACACACACACTCTAGAAAATGCATGTGTACACGTACAGTCTGATGTGTGACCTGCCATCGCTTGAGCACCGCCACCCCACTGCCTCTGCCCCAATCCCTTCCTAATCTAGTGACAAAAAAAGGCTCCTGCAGTTGGTGGGTATAACAGCTTCTGATCAACCCCAGCCCCACTGGCTTTCCACTCTTGCTGAATACAAATATAAATGACCCATCTCTAATTTTTAATGGGCCCAAGACCTTCCCCCTTTTCCTGTCCCAGCAGCCACCTCCTCAGCCTCCAGCTGGAAACAAAGCATCTGAAATGTCAATCGAGGACCGTCGTTCATTAGGCTTCGCCCTTCCTATAGAGACGTTAGGTTCGGCTCTAGCATCAGTGTCTCTGACAACTTCTCTCTCACCCCAGGGAGCCGTGCTAGACGGCTGGAGTTTGCAAGCTGCTTCTTCAGACAATTAGATCACGTACGGTCATGGGCTCGATCGGTTTCAGTGAATCCCAAGATGTCCAGAATTACTCTCGGCATAGACAGTGACTTGAAATCATAGTAATGCAAATTAAAAATGTCTGTTTGTGACAAACTTGTTTGAAAAGCTATCCAGGAACATGGAAGACAAATATATATTTCTTTTAATTTTTGGTTTTTGGTATTAAAAATCCAACTGTATTTTGTCCAAGCCTGTTTCCCTCCCCCCCCTCAGTGTCAAAACTATCCAGATTTCTCTAAGTGAACTAGATCCTCTAGTTTTCAGTAAAATAAATGAATTTTTATCTTAATCACAACTGTATTGTAAATAACTATTAGATAAAGAACAACTGGTGAATAAATGTTACTTACACACAGACACTCTACCCCCCCCATTTCCTTTTAAACTGTGGTTGCCATTTTAACACTAAGTGATGATTACCCAGATGTTCTCAGTAGGGCTGACCCCCATGCAGCCCCTGCCATTGTCACCATTAAACCCAATGTCCACATTTGCTCAATTTTGACACCCTAACATTTCCTATGGAGACACAGACATTACAGACTGTTCAAATATGTTAGAAGTGTTGCATGCCCTGCCCACTGTAGAGTTACAGTCTTTGTAAGACAGTCAAGTGTTGACACCATTTTGCTTTTAGATTATGATTATGCAAGTATTGTCTGTCAAGGGAGACCATAAACAGGCAACAGAGCTTAACAATCTAATAAGCTGAATTAGGAAACTTTCTCTGTCCCCAGTGTTGCTTGTAGTCACCTTCAGGTGAACTCTTCAGGTTCTCTTCCCCCCCCCTCCAACTGTGTTGCCCTTCAAAGGTATTTGCAGGTTGTTCTATTCTTTTGCTTCAAGAATTGTAAAGAAAAGACATGCGTTATTATTTTTAATCTTTCCTTAACCCGTCAGTCCCTTCCATCTCAAATCAGGTTCTCCATTTCTAGAATCTTTCCTAAATGCTAATTTAACTGGTATTGGAATACAGTATAACTTCATAAGTCTGGATATCGAAAATCCAGAATTCTCAAAAATTTAGCACTTTTTAAAAATACACTTCATCGGGGAATAGCGGTGGCCAGTCCTGGAGCAGCGAAGGGGAAGCTTGCACGCGGCGGCTACTGCCGCCATCCACCACCCCACACTGCCACTCTACGTGTGGCTGCTGCTTTAGGACCAACTGCTGCTACCCACCTTCCCTGCTCGGTGACTGGCCACCGCTTCAAAGATCTGGAATTTTCAGATTTTCAGAAGGTGCTCGGTCCCGAGCATGCCAGATTTATGAGGTTATACCGTATTATAAAGTCTATCCGTGAGTTAGGCTCTCTACCATCACTCTGTATAAAGGAAAAATAGCCTTGCTGTTTTGTAACATTGTCTTTCTAAAATCAGAAGGATTGTAAAAATTCTCTCTAACTTAAACAAGTTTATGAAGGACAGTAAGTTTTGCAGTTGCACTATAACTGTGATAGCACTTATTATTCTAACTTCATAATCTATTAATATGGGAATGGATTTGACAGAAGACGATGGTTAATGAATTAATTCAACAAAAATAATGTAAACGTTATGTTGTCAAAATTTTGTAATACCTTGTGGCCACAGATGATAGATGTTCATTATCAGCATCTTGAACTGGACCTTTAAGAGAGCTTTTGGGGGAGTTTTTAAAAATTTTACTCACCAAATGCATCATTTTACAAAAAAAAGTATACCTTCTGGGTGGTTGGGGGAGGGGTGCTTGTGCTGTTTTTGTTACTGGATAGTTTATAAATCTGCAATTCCATCATTGCATGTTCCAGATGTTTAATATAGTCAACCCAAATGCTGCTGTTAGATGACAGTGTTTAAAATATGCATGATGAGAAAAAAATTGAGAGTAACAGTTATTTTAACTTGAAACAGATGAACTATTAGAAATGCTAAGTAATATAAGACAAGGATCTTTTAAGGATTAGATACATAAAGCTACAGATAGATGTGCCTGGTCAACTAGGAAGCTTTTCCAAAATCCTTAATTCTTATGGATTTCAGGGAAGTAATTCCTTTTAAAATCTGTCCTTATGTATATTACTGTCATGGCATAACTTTGTGTTTCTGTTTGCTATAAAACAACAATCATAATTATAGTGGTAATATCTTGTTCTCTTTTTTTTCTTTGCTGTTTTATTGTGGCTCTTGTATTAAGAATTAATAAACTGAAGTATGAATTGGTAAAATTGTTTGTTTGCAGGAATTCCCATCAGGACAACTCTAGATAACTCTACAACAGTCCAATATGCAGGCCTGCTTCATCAACTCACAATGAAAGCTAGAAGCACAGTAAGAGATATTGATCCTCAGAATGATCTAACCTTTCTTAGGATAAGATCAAAGAAACATGAAATCATGGTAGCCCCAGGTAACATAACAATTCTTTTGAAAAAATTATTGCTGGTATTTTGTGCGTCCGGTAGGTTTCTTTTCATGCCTTCAGGAATAGAGATGCTATATAACATATATTGAATAGATGAAAACAAGACCATATAAAGAGAACTGCAGCTCCTTTACACACAAATGACGTGCAAGACGTGTTGTTCACTATGTTGACCTGTGCAGACAGTGCATTAGCATCTTGATGTTTAGCAATTAGTTGGCTTATTGTTGCAACAGAAGTTTCCAGGTGCTTGGGCAGTAACTTTCCCCCATTCCCCTTCGTTGGTTTGATTTTCTTAAACTGACAGCAAATGTACTACTCAAATATTTTCAATTAAAATGGTTCATTAGGCCAAAGTGAGTTGAAACCTTAGTCTATGTTGGCAGTTTGACATTTAATTTTAAAAGAAATGTGTTTCGTTTTACAATTTATTTAGTTAGCTTAATTTAAGAAAATCACTGCTTTTTATTCACGCTGGTATCAGTACAGGAAATTGTATGATCAGATGGCAATAAATAAAGCTGCTAGTAAATATATGAGTTGCTAACATATGTGGTAATTTCAATTAATGTTTTTATATTTTTCCCACAGATAAGGAATATCTTCTGATCGTTATTCAGAACCCATGCGAGTAGACACACCACAAGAAGATTTTGAGAGACTAAAGTAGCTGTACTTTCTAAACTAAGATTAATTCTCTGATATTTAATGTTCAACATACTAATGGGTTACTTTACGTAATATACATAACCTCTCATAACTAATACTTTGCCAAGTTAAAATTTCCAGCTGGTAGCTGTATATTAACTTGTGCTCGAGCAAGAAAACACTATGTATATCTCAGTATGCGGAACAATAAAACAAAATGCATAACACGTGCTAATGGATTTTCTGGCTAATTTTTTTATGACTCTTGCAGTTCTCTTAAAGCATCCAACTCAGGGGTGGGCAAAATGGCAGGTCCAGCCAGCAGCAAGACTTCATTTCCCAGCAACCCCTGCCTGTGTCACTGCAGCCAGTTTCCATGGAGACCCCACCAGCAGCGGTGTTGTGACAGTGTGGGGCCAGGGTTTTCATGGAGAGCAGCCCCAGCAGCATGGCAGGGTGCACAGCACAACAGAGAGCTGCTCTGCAGCAGGGCAGGGATCTCACAGTGGTGACAGTGTGGTCCAGAGCTGGGGCAGGGCCACGATCTGCTGCCTGCACTCTCTGCCTGGGGCATGTGGGCAGTGAATCACAACTCTGCTCCAGCTCTGGACCACATGGTCACCACCACAAAATCCCAGCCCCGGAGCAACTCCCCACCCTATCGCGTGCCCTGCCAGTGTTGCTGGGACCACATTGTCATGGCACCACCCTACAGGGGTCTCCATCAAAACTAGCCAGTGCTGTGGGCAGGGGCTGCTGGGAAATGGAGTCAGCCATGGGCCAGATTTTGCCCACCCCTGATCTAACTTGTGATGTATATTTGAGCAGATGTTGGGAATCATGGAAACTAGTAGTTTGTGTACATGTAATTGTATTCAGAAACTAAAGAGTATAGAATTAAACAGTGTTACTCATGTCACTGTCATTATGGTAAAGTGGGTCGTTTTCCGTCTCTACCTTCTGCTGTTGATTATTCTAAGGAAATAACTTAAGGCTGAAGTAAAACAATCTAATTGACAGCTCCTAAGTTTCTCCTTAACAGCTCAGTTGCCACTTCACTTAGAATGGTCTTTCAAATATTAAAGAATCAAATACGTAGATATATATATTGGGGTGTTTCATTTAAAAATCACAGAAAAATGTGGATTTGGGGTTACTTTTTTAACCGAAAATTGGGGATTTTTTTTTTAATCAGAGAACCAGGATCCCTGATTAGTCACCTTTAGATATAACACACAGTGAACACTTTATTCCAACACACTATGAAACCACACAACCAGTAATCTTGCAGTTATCTCCAAAACTCCAAGCAAGTGAAAGCATTTGTTTAAAATCAAGCGTTTAAGGTTTATGTACGATATCACTTTACAAGTTATTCTAAAATTTTATCTTAAAGTTTCAACACATTTTAGGGACCAGGGATGACTGGAAAAAAGTGAGTAGAGTAGAAGTCAATTTGACTCAAAATATCAAAGGTAAACAAAAAGGCAGTTGGCCATTCCCTGGGGATCTGCAGTATAACTTATAGCAATTTCATAACCTCAACCACAGTTTATATCATCAAATGCCTCCATAGCTATGAAGCTGGCCATATGGTGCCATGCATTTCCCAAACTAGAAACAATGGAGGGTTATTATAACCTTGATAGCTACCAATCGGTTATAAACATTTTAAAAATATGGTAGCGTTGGAGTGATGATCACATTTCTGTGATGGAATAATGGACAGAGCCAGTACTACACCATATTCAGATTGAGGAAAAGCTGCTGAGTATATGGGCCTCATGTGGGAGGACTGAAACAGTCTGGTTACCACCCAACTGTTCAGGACTTTTCACTCCAAGTTATAAGCAGGAGTCAGAGGGACACCAGTTGAGGGTAGTGGGGTACTGGAAGACACTTCCTGCTTTCATGGGTATTCTTCTGGATTGTTGGTTACGAATTAAAGACAAGTGGTTCATTTAATGTACAGGGTTGGCAAACACTGCTTTGCTGCATCAATATTACGTTTTCTAGTTGCCACGTCTTCTAGCAAAGATTTCCAAAAGCAACCCAGTCGTTAAATATCATTTAAACTCTTTTCATAAAATACACATGCATGCTTTTGGAGGAATCAGCCAAAGCTGCTCCCAATTTGGAAGAAGCTGTGCCAGGGTTAAACCTGTAGCTGTGGAGCTGCAAGGAGAGGGTGAGCGATGCTGAGGAGTGGTCTTCACCCCTCCTGTGTGCAGCCATAGTAAGCTGTGCTGTAGCAGTTAAGATTTGGTTTTCGCTCTTCATTCTGCTTTTCCAAGTGCGTATATTATTTGGAGATGTGATATGTGAGTAAATAGGGTAGTTAGCTACTGTCTATCAGAAAAGCAACTGCATAGCTGTTTACATTTCCAGTTTCAGGCTTGGGGGTGTTAATAGAAAAGAGAAGTGAAATAATCCCAGCAAGCCAAGTGGAAACCTGCAGTCGGTCAGATTCATCTCAACAATGGCAGATAGTGCTGGAATAGTGGAAGGAAAGAATGAGGAAGTAATTTTGAAATGACTTATGTAATAAGTTAGCACTGCACAGTCTATTCCCGCTAAGGTGAAGTTGGCATTTCAGAGAAATAACAGCCGGAGGAATCCCTACCAGAAATTTTGATTCACAATACTGATGTCAGTTACTCAGAAGAGAAAATAATTGCAGTGAGAAAAATCATAATATTCCTTTTAAGACTGTAATGCTAGGGATAATTTTTTCTGTGGCTGATGTTCTGAAACCTCTCCAGCTTCACAGGCCAGATGAGCAAAATGGGACCAGTCCGTGGGCCAGATCCCACGCACAGAGTTGGTCCACGGGCTGGATCCCGCATGGGATCAGTGCAATCTGGCACAGCAGATCTGGCTGCAGCATGACCCTATACACCAGTCCGGCCCTGGATCTGGCCATGGAACAACCACATACCAGTGTTGTCTAGTGTCTGGGGCCACGTCATCCAGACTATGGCTCTCCAGGGGTCTAGAAATGTGGTGGCAGCTAACTGCCGTGACTCCAGAAGCAGTCGATGCTCCTACCACACCCCTGCCATCAAATGTCCAGACCTATAGGGAGCCCATTGATATAACTCCATGGGCTGGATCTGGCCCGCAGGCTGGAGGCTGAGCACCACTGTTCCTAGCGAATCAAATGTTACTCTTCAAGCCTCACACTAGCATTCTGGAAAACATATACCCCCATGATGACATTATCGCGTGTTTGGGGCTGTAAAACTAGCCTACTGTAGTAGCAACAGAAAGCTGTCCCAGAATCATCCTTCCACTTAAAAAAAAAAAAAAAATTAGTAAATATCTTGGCTTTGCCTCAATACATATATCTGATAAATGCATAACCTCTCATAAGACACTTTCCAATGCCAATCTTCCATCTCATTTACAGTAACATATTCCACAGTCATTGTTCTAAAGTTTTGCTTATCTGTCACCTAGCCAGAATTTAAATGCTCAATTTAACGCAGGCAATGGATGCTCTTTTTTCTTCAATGCATTTTCCTATTGTCGTTTGTAATCAAAGGGGTTGCATGCATACGTAATGTAACACCGAGGCATTTGGTTAACGTGTATAATGCAATGCATACAGAGGTATTCAAGTTGTGCGTTCTTTAAGTATACTTTCAGCTCAGCTTGTTCTCAAATTTACATTGTTTTGTGGTTTAAAACCCGAGTAAAAAACACCATTAGATTTTGGCTTCAGGCACCACTGAAAATGATTTACAAATTCTGTAAGCAACAAAAAAAA